CCCCAAAACCCCAAAACCCCAAAACCCCTTAAAGTCTTTAAAGTATTGAATTTCCTCCCAAAATGAAACTCCATGAAAGAATAGAGAATCACTTAACTGGTTGATTTACGAATAGATGGTGTCTGTGGTGTAAAGCTCGACTTTGCACTCTTTACTGAAAAAACTCTTGGTCTTAAATGCCTGTTATCAAAATCAGACCTTTGTGAGTCTTGCTTAGCCTGATAGTACCAATCTGGAATTTGGAGAGTTGTCGAGGGCTTCAAAATTGGAGTTTGTATTTTTCCAATGGTTTTCTATACATTAGAGGTAATTGAGGCTCATAACACAGACAATTAGATGAAAATATATTACATGATTGCTAGAATTTAATTCATCGTTTTTAAAGTATTCCTCCTTCTCTCAAATATCATGAAGAGATCCCGTGTGCTGATTTCTATCAGGAATAAGCATTACTAACTTACTTGTTAGAACTAGTTTTAGAAGACACTCTGCTTCTTCCAAGAGTAATATTATCACTTTCCTTCTTAGACTTGAAAACAACAGATGACATCGGTCCCATATTATCAATTGCGTTCTTAAGATTTCTAAAGATTAGAACAAATTACGAGTTGACACTATTAAGTGGGTTTATATTAAAAGAGTCTTGTCTGAATAGATCTTCCTTCGTGCCAAATGGCATCTTCTTGTGTATTTTAAAATATCTCTGGTTAGATACTTCTTCACAAGTTGAATCTAGAAGTAGGCTTCAGAGAGGCGCAAGAGGAAAATTAATGAATTTCTGATCAGAGCAGATGGTTAATGCAGGAACGAAATTGTTGGGATGATTATATGGAAAACAGAAGGGATATTTGGCATATTGTGATGAGAGCCAGGTTTTAGGGATTTTGAGGAGGAATGAGGTTATTGTAGTAGAAATTGGTTTAGTCAGGTGCCTGAGGCTTCTTACCTCGATCCTTCTTTGTATTTGCTTGTTTGAATACACTGCTAAGTTCGAAAAATGAATCATTCAAGTTTTCATGATGCTTTTCAGGAGGAGAAGGAGATTTGCTGGGATAAAATGTTATTTCTTTGTGGATTATTCTTGGAGGTGATTCTATAAAATAACCCGGAAGCAATACTAAGACTAGAGCTGCTCTATATGAAAAATATCAGATAAGTTGAAAATCCAATTTCAAAATTAATCAAAATCAAGCAATCTATTCAAACAACAATTAACTACTCCATACCTGTCCATAACTTTCTTCCACTCTCCCTTCCTTCTCCACCAATTCCCTATTTCAAAAATCAACAAAACCAACCAAAAGTCCCCAAAACCCCCAAATTCCCCAACCCCCTCTAACTTTCTCTCCCCTCTAAAATCCACTTAGCTCATAACTCCTCATTCTCTTAACCCTCCATTAAAATTCTGAACTAGAGAAATCAGAAAAAACCTAAAGAGTGGAAGAGAATCAACTGGCTGGAGCAGAAGAGGGTGAGGTCTGGTCGCTGAGGGCAGGGTTTTGAGGGTGTGGAGTTTTGAGGGTTGATGAGTAGGAATGTGGGTAAGGGTGAATAAGGGTTAGGATGATTGTGGTGAGGAAGAGGGGTGGGTGAGGTGAAGAATTTGGGAATAGGTGAAGGTGGGGTAAGGGGGTATGAGATTTTAGGGATGGAGGGTGGGGAATTAGGGGAATGGGGAGTTACGGATTGAGGGGTGGGGTTTTGGAGAAGGGTGGGATTTTTGGGGTTTTAGGGTTCTTTGAATGTTTTTTGAGTCTTAAATTTTTTCTTCTAAGTTGTTATAAAATTATAATCACTTTCTTCTATTTTTTATTTTTATTCTTTTTGAGTGCCTTTACATTTATCGGATTTCCTTTAAATTCCTGCCTCATCTAAACATTACCTATCAGCTCAACAAAAGTGAAGAGCACACAGGACTATCGGCACTGGAAGAAAACTTACTTTTGAGGAACTTCTGAGTCAGTGGTGGGACAAGTTAAGGACTTTAGGTGGAGATGAGTGGAGGAGGGGTGGAAAAGGAAGGGAAAAGGAAGGGAGAAGGGATTTGGGGAGTTTGGATTTGGGGTGAAGGGTTGGGGGATTTACCTTGTGCGTTGGATTTGTGCTTCCTTTTTCTATGCTTGTTGTTTCTAGGGACCTATATTGGGAGGGTAGTTATGAATGGTGTGAGAATTAGGAGGGGTTTTTTGAAGTATTTGGGGATTTATTTTTACCTGTTTTAGTAATCTTCAAGGTCATGATACTACGTTGAGGATTCATTTTAGGATTGATGACATTTCTTTGTTATATTCAATAATCGTATTTAGTAAAGGGGTTTTGGGGTTTTGGGGTTTTGGGG